AATAGGTCCCTGTTACTATGTCTGAGGGACAGTTTTCAATGACTGCTGAACACATTCATAACAGTTTGCTTCTATCCGTAACAGAGACACAAACTGTATAAAGAAGCTCAATCAAGAGTTACTCTAGTAGATCCTGCTACAAATGTTGCAAAACTGCTATAGCCTAGAAATTTAATGTACCTGTTGGAAGTAAAGAATGTGAAAATAAGGTGAATGCCCAACTAACACTACCTAAGTACCTGACAAAATTTAAGACCTTCATTAATTACTATATAAATATAGATATGAATATTTAATTAATCATGTAAAGTCGCTTCAAAGTCGGGTAGACCAATGGGTCTACCCGAAAGGTCGATGATCCAAGCAAGAGTTAGTGAAGCATCACAGACATATCAAGATCTGCTAACTTTAAAGAAATAACTCAAAACACAACACATCAACAAGAAATATGATGGACTACTCAAACTACCTCTAGGGTGGTTAGCCCTAGAGACTTTCCCCCTCTCAAATCTAAATCAAGATGACATTTCACAATAATAAATACAAAGGCAGGCAACCTGAGTTTAAAACAAAAACAAATAACCTTGTACATCCAATGCCAGGAATGAACCCTGAGAAGGTCAATGACAAAAAGACTCCACATAATACAAAAATATTTATAGCTGCAGTTTCTGTGGTAGGAAAGAACTGGAAACAAAGTGGATGCCCATAAATTTGGCAACTGGCAAATTGTAGTACATGAATATAATGGAATATTACTATACTGCATGAAATGATGAATACAATGGATACAAGAAGCACAGAAAGATTTAGAGGAGCAGACATAAAACGAATCCAAATCTAAGTAGCAAAGCCAAGAAAACAACATACATTACTGATACAACTAAAATGGAAACATCAACAATCACAAAACAATCTAAATTAAATGTTGCCGAGATACAGATGTAACACTGCACATAACATCAGATTTTTTAAACCGAGCAGTATTGTGGATTTTTTTCTCCTCTTAAAAAAATTCTTTGTTGTAAAGGGATGGTTCTCATGGGAAGAGGAGGCCTACAGGAGAATCCAGGTGACATAAAAATAAATCAATTAAAATATTGTTTTATAAAAAGAAACTGTACAAGATAAGAGATCTGGATTGGCAGTAGTTCACATGAAGAAAAAATGTCAGTTTTAGCTCACTGTGGAACTATTCTGTGTCACACTTTGGGAGAAAGAATAGTATAGAAGGGACAGTGGAAAAGTAAGAAAACCTGTTTCTAATCTGAACTCTGCCACTTCTTGGCTGTGTGACCTTGAGCAAGTCATTTAACTGGTTGGGCCCTCAGTTTCCTCATCTATGAAATGGAAATAACACATGATATATTTATCTTGCACACAGAAGGACCATATTAGTAAATAGATGTCAAAGTACTTTGGAAACTGTAAAGCTCTACACAAATATAAGGTACTGTATGCTAATCATAATGTTCATATTAATATCTTAATAGGTCTTATGTATCTCATCTTATTTGGCTAATAACCACTCACATTTCAATAGAGCCTTAAGTTTTACAAGGCACCTCCATCTTCAGTCCTCTGAGGCAGGTAGTATATTATACCCATTTTACAGACAAGAAAATAGACTCAAGGAGGCTGTGACTTACCCATTATTCCTACAAATATTTGAACCAAGTAATCCTAACTCTTAAGAGCAGAGCTCTTTCCACTACCAATACAAATTTTTTTAATTGGAGTAATAGAAGCATTGTTCCCAGATCAGTGGAAATAATGGTCCTATCATACTCTAAAGTTATTTTTAGAGGCAGCTAGGTGGCGCAATGGATAGAGCACCAGCCCTGGAGTCAGGAGGACCTGAGTTCAAATGTGACTTCAGACACATAACACTTACTAGATATGTGACCCTGGGCAAGTCACTTAACCCCAACTGCCTCACCAAAAAAAAAAAAAAGATAAAAAAAATAAAGTTATTTTTAACTATGGTACCACTTTTTAAAGAAGGATATTTAAAAATGAGGAGTTTTCAAGAGAAAGGTTATCAAGAAGGATCACAGATTTAAAGCCGGAAGGAACCTCAGAGGTTATCAAGTCTAATCCCTTCATTTTACAAATAAGGAAACTGAGGCCCAAGGGTCTTAACAAAGGTCACACAGTAAATGTCAGTGGCAGAATTTGGGCCCAGGTCTTTGTGCTCCAAAACTAGTGCACTTTCTGCTGTACCATGCTATTCCTAGCTAAGGTGAGAATGGCTAAGGTATCCAGGGAGAAGAGGCCACAGTAGCAAAGTGATGGGAAACTTAATTTATTTGAAGGGTTATCATTTGGAAGCAGCAATATGTGTTTTGTGTTACACCTTCAGAGAGGAACTAAAACCAATGGACAAAAATTTCAGAGAATGACCATGTCTCAAGAGTGTATAGATGAAACACCTGCACTGTATAGTAGGTGGGTCTAAAATACTAAGTTCCTTTCCAGCCATAGAGACACTAAGAATGGTTCATTTTCACAAGTTACCTATAGATAAGACAGACACACATGTATATATGAAATCATTTGATATATTTAATTTAACACTTAAAATCTGAGGAAAAAAAGAATCTTAGATCCTGTTCCCATTTTCTAGAAAATATTTCAGCTTTTATTTTTTAATGATTGTTTCTTCCATTAGCTTCTGTGAGACAGGACCTGTTCCAGTTTAACTTTACAATCGATCTCACAATTATCATGAGAGTTTTAATAAATAACTGAGCCCTATATTTAAATTGCCTAACTTGGCTAAGCATTTTGTCATTAGTGATATCAATGGCCTTTTTTCTGTGCAACTACAAACTATTAATTTAAATAGCAGTTGTACACTATAATCTCTCTTGAGACCTCCTTAAGTCAAACAACTAATGAAGGTTTTATTACTGAGGATCTATTTTTTCCCATTTTACCACACTAAATTCTAGTGAATACCATACTTAAGATCATCCAGTTAACCAGTCTTAATTAAAAACCTAAACCTAAAACCAATGATCAAATCTGACCCTTAAGTCATTATTATTGAATAATATCTTATCACTTAAATATTCTTTGGAGAAATCATTTTTTTACCTCCCTATGAAACTACCATGTAAAAAAGGCATTAAAATGTGAACAAAAGAACTGTTTACATTAGGTTTAATAATGGTTTCTTATTTACTGAACTATATTTTGCTGGGTCTACTGAATTAATTACTACAGCATCAAACATAAAGTTCCATGGCTTCAGATTTTTACATACAACTAATCCAAAAAACTTTGATCCTGGTCTTTTATTTATGTAAATAAGCTTTAGTTTAGAGGGTTAATGCCAAAGACTATGATGCTAGGAGACCTGGATTCTCAGTCTCAACTCTAAAATAAATTTACTGTGTAAACTTAGCCACCTTCTATATCTGCCACTTCAATTCCAACAGGCTGATGAAATATTTGCCACCTCCCCACTTCAAAAGAGGGTATAACTGAGTTTATTATTAGTGAAGAAATGTAAGACTTTTTGCTAAAAGTCCCTAAACAAGTTACTTTTAGACAAATACACACACATGAGTTTTTAGTCTAGAATCTATTCCACTTAGTCAACAACAGAAAATAAACTGGAGGAGTTGAGGTTTGAGAAACAGCTGCTAAAGAGGCACAATCACATTCTTACAGGGATTATATATAACAGCCTACCAAATTTAGATCCTTCTTTGGAAATGTTACACATGATCAATTTTCTGTAATTTATTCAATAAACTGTTATCAATTACTTTTCTTAGCTGTCACTGGAATTTACTGCTATGCCCCATTTTAACAATGAAGTAATTAAGGTATAGAACAATTAAGCATCCAGTTCAGGGTCTCTCTGCCAGCCTAAACAGAAACCTGAATTGGAAATGGCCTGTGGCATCTGCACATGGTAAGCACTCACAAATATTTCTTGCTCAGTCCCAAAGGATTAAAGCCTTTGCTGCTCACATCGCTACAATCCACAGAAAATAAAAATAAAAATTAATTTTTGAAATGCTTTAAGGCACTTAAGGGTTCAAAAGTCTAATAGAACTGCCATTTCAGTTCATGCAACTGGCCCATTGGCCCAGTTATAATTACAGAGGTCATATTTTACTTATCCCTCAAATTTTTATTTTAGGGGGGAAAAGATATATATATATATAAAACTATGTCACTGAAAAAAAATTTCAACCATGTCACAGCAGCTCAGAAAAGAGGGCACAATTCAATTAGCCCCATGGAACCAAGCAAGACTATCATGTCTGATCACACTCTCGATCTCAGACCTATTCTGCAAATATCAAGGAATAACAAAGGCAAGTTGAGAAGGCAACAGAGGACTTAACTCAACAGTTCTCCAGTTTTCAGGGTTTTATTAAGATGCTATGGGGGAGGGAGGATGATGCGGGGCTCGAAAGGCGAAAGGGGCCCATCCCACCCGCCTGCCCAGGACTGCTCCCCAGCCTCTGCCACCGCTTTGTCTAGTCCGGTTTCACAGCAACCCGGCCTCCCCGACACTTCCCTCCGGGTCTTTCTTCACATCACTTCCACCGAGTTATGTTCTCCCCTCCCCCCACCCCCATCCCCTCCTTGCGCTCATTTCACACCGAGGATGATCCCGACTCTCCTCCCTCCACCCAGAGGAGGCTCCTCGGGTGGGAGGGTCTGGTGGTGTTCTTTGACTATGTGCTAGGAAGGGGGGGAAACACAAAGCCACCAGGCAGGTCCCACAAACCCCGCAGGATTATTCTCCGCTGCCGCCACCCCCCGCCCCCCGCCCTTCAGCATCCCTCCGCATGCCAGCTCCGCAATCTATGGATTAACCAAACAATGCAACCTGTCCCGTCCCCCCCCCCAATCAGACACACACACTCACTCGCTCCTCTTCCATCTTCCACCAGCAGGGCTGGGTTCCTCCCCTCCACCCCCAAGTGCATCCGACAGCTAAAGAGGGAGCGCTTTGCAAACACGCGCACACATACCCCGGGGGTCCGCGGCTAGTCGCAGGGAAGTGGGAGTGGGCTCCGCGGGGGGGGGGGGCTACTTTCAATCTCATCAGCACCGACGCGGCTCTTACTGCATTATTTGGCGGTGGCGACGGTGCTGCCGCTGCTAAGCTGGTTTCTTCTCTCCTCCTCCACCCCAATGAGGCTAAGGAGCTTGGTACAGGGCAAAAAATAAAAGGCTCAGAACGCATGCGCGGCGATGGCTGGGACCGGCGCGCCACCCGGGCCCCCCCTCCCCCTCTCCATTTTCCCCTTTCCCTTACGGAAGACCGGGTCCGACCACAGAGAGGAGCAAAACGAGGACCGCTCCTCAGGTACCGTGTTGCGCATGCGCCAGGCTGGCGCCTAAATCGCTTATGTTGGTGGGTGTGGCTCCCACCCCTTTTGCCTTCTCATCCGACTCAAACAGTGACCCTCACGGGGACCCGTAGAGGAGATAGGTTTTCCTCAAAGAAATTAAGCGATGCAAAGCGAGCAATTACAAGGACAAAGGCAAAGCCAATGCCAGGTTCGGGAAGGAAGGCAAGGGTGCGAGGATGGTCATAAGGCCTCCGAAAGAACAGAGGGCACATTCAGGGGAAAAAAAGAGGAAGGGGGTGGAGAGACGGACGGTCCAAGGAAAACGAGTCTGACCGCTTACTTCCTTCCGGGCGTGGCCTAGGCTGGCGGAAGATGCCTTTCACTTCCGGTTTTCAGGAGGGCCTTTTGTTTCCGGGTTGTAAGAAAGTGGTCAGGGGCAGGTGGGAGGGCTCTTAATGGAGGGGGAGGGGGTTGTGGGCTTGTGGAGCTGAGGAAGGAGTGCGTTGTGCCCTGTCCCGGGAGGCTACTCGGCTTCCTGTACGTGATCCAGCCACAAAGGGATAAAATCTGGATTCCTCCCTCCCCGCCAGCTTGTGTAGACAGTCCGAAAATCCCTGACGCCTTGCCGGGTGGCCTTCCCTGCGGCCGGTGGCTGTTGGCCCTTCTTCCGATCCTCCCTGTCTTCCAGCGCCTCCCGGAGCCCGGCTCCGGCGGCCGGCGCCCCGCCGCGCGTGTCGGTTCTAGGGGCCGCCGGCGACTGTAACGCTCCACGTCCATCACTTGATGTCAGCCTCACAGCAGTCCTGTGAGGTAGGTACCTCAAGTTTTATTTCACAGATGAGGAAAGTGAGGCTGAGAGAGGCGAAGTAGCCCCTCCGTGGTCACACACCTCGTGGGGGGCAATCAGCCATCGAGCTCGTGGTAAATGCTTGTATTCCAGGCACCTTGCAGGGTGCTGGGGGTTGAAGGACACGAGAGAAGCAGCCGCTGCCCTGGAAGCTCCTCAGAGGGACAGGTGCATGATAGGTGTATGCAGAAGGGATGGAGGATGACTTCGTTGGGGAAAGGACCCGGGTGAAGATCAGGAAAGACATCAGGTACACCTTGAGTTAAGTCTTGAAGGAAATCAGGGATTTTGACAGGTGAAGAGGAGGGATAATGCATTGGAGGCTTGGAAGACAGGGCAAAGGAAGGGAGAAGTTGTGGGGTTGTGTATGAGAAGCCATCAGGCCAGCTGGAGTGCCTGAAGCTGGGGGGCTAAGATTGTGAAACTCAAAAAGTTGATGGGAGACAAGTTGTGAAAGGTTTTGTCACGATATTAGGAGACACCCTGCTTTCCAGACCTAAGGCCCAGAAAGCATGCTGTGCCCTGAGCTTGGCATAACAACAATCCTTTGCTCTCACTCTCTGGCAAATGCTGTGGTGGGATTTATTATTTTATATGATATGTGTAATGATTTAGATTTGTTGGAGCTTCTCTATTTTCCAGGAGATCCTGGCCTGGGAACTCAGGCTGCAGCCAATGTGCTGCAGCAGAAAGTGAGCTATCACATCCGCTAACGCTATGAACAATCCCAGTACTTGTAACTTCTAAGTGAACTGAGCCAGGTGCTACACTCCTTCCTGCCACACTAACCCTGGTTCTATACCCCACTGACCGATCATAAGGCTTAGCGACCCTTAAGACTTGAGATAATCACAAGGCTCAGTGATACTAATAACTTAAAGACTGTTTCCACAGGACCCAAGAACGCCTGTATTGTCCTGAAAATATCTGCACTTGTGGGCCTGCAGTAGGAACTGTTTACTCAAGACTTAAGGATGACTGTGTTCGGCCCTGCCTTTTTGTGATTTTCGTGCTTAAGAACCTTACCCCACCACAAAAAGTAAGCCCTCCTTGTCAGGAACGTGGACTGCCACTAGCAAGCGTTTTCCTCAATGCAATTAAACTTCTGTTTGATTCCTGACTCTTCTGTCTCTAGTCTGCTTTGTTCAGCTTCAGCCGTCCAGTTCCAATTTGGTCTGGTCTGGTGTCATTGACAGTTTTAAATGCCAAACTGAATTTGATCCTAGAGATAATACAGAACCATTTAATTTTATTCAGTAGGGTAGTAACAATAGTCAGATCTGCACTTAAGAAAAATCGCTTTGACAGACAGCTGTGTTGAAGATGTATTGGAGGCGGGAAAGAAAAGAGGTGATGAGAGCCTGAAAAATGACAGTAGCCATGTTAGTAGAAAGGAACATATGGTAGAGATGTTTGTGGTGGTAGAAATAATGAGATTTAGCACCTGATTGGATATTTAGCGTGATTATGAGTAAGGAATTAATGATGACTCCAAGATTTTGAACCTGTGTAACTTGAAGGATGTTGGCACACTCCACAGAAATACCAAAACAAAGATTGATTTGGGGGAAACATAATAAGTTCCGTTTTAGACATGTTGAGTTTGAAATAGGACATGCTGTTCAAAATATCTTAATAGGCCGTTGCTGAAGTAGGACTGGAGTCCAAGAGCCTAGGGCCTAGCCAAAAGTCATCTGCATAGAATGATCATTAAGTCCATGAAAGTTGATGAGGTCACAAAATGAAAGAGCAGAGAAAGGGCCCATTGTAAAGCTTTGGATACACCCACAATTAGCAGACTGGATATGAATAACAGTCCAGCATAAGAGAGTGAGAAGGACTAGTCAGGCAAATAGGAAGAGAACCTAGGAAGAAACAGCAGATCCATGAATACCCAGAAGGAAGAGAATATCTAGGAAGAAAAGAGTCATCAACATCAGATGCTACAAAGGTCAAGAATGATGAGAATTGAGAAAAGTCTATAAGACTTAGCAAATAGGACATCCTTGGTAACTCTGGAGAACTCATTTGAAATTGAATAATGAGGTTGAAAACCAGATTGCAAGGAATTGAGAAATGAGTGAGAGCAGAGCAAAGGAAGACCTTCAGAATAGATAGCTTTCTGGAGTTTATTTATGAAACGGAGGAATACTATGGCAGGATAGCTTGAGAGGATGGTAGGGTCAAATCAAGGATTTTTTAATGATGAGGGAGACCTGGCTATGTTTGTAGACAGCAAGGAAAGAATCAGTTAATATGACAAGAATAAAGGTTACAGAGAGAGGGAAAATGATAGTAGGGTTACCCTTGTTTGGAGGAGAGCCACTTCTCTGTCAGAGACTGAGGTAAAGGAGGCATTTGGAACATTCCCAAGGGGTTTTGAGATGTAGTGAAGGGGAGAAGAAGGAACTTAGGGTGAACTGTCACTAAGTCAAGGACAAAGGACAAACAGCATACCAAGATCCTTAGCTAATATGGTAACAGGAGATGATGAGGAAGGCTTGAGGAGAAAAGAGAAGGTTTGGAATAGTCTCATTGAGGAATGAGATAGAAAATCTTTTAGAAAGGAGTAAAAATATGAGTGCTACAGTGAGTGCTCAGTTAAACTTAGATAACATAAATTTGTAGTGGACCCAGTCAGTATCATCATGTGACTTCTTCCACTTCTCTTCAGTAGTACTTGAGTGGGGGGCATAGGAGGCAGATGGTGGGAATAATCCGTAGTTGGGCTTGGCAACACATGAGACAGGAGTGAAAGGGATTTGAAAGTTGAACTAGTTAACTTTAGGTAGAAACTGGGGAGGAATATGAAGCCAGAGCAGAGATGATAGCCTAGAAAAGTACTGGGGGGTAGAGGGATTGGAGGTCACAGTGAGGACAAAGAATAGGTAGATTTATGAGGTGTAAGGTATAAGGAGAAATGGAATGATAGTTTATGATAAGATAAAGGAATTTCAGAGCAATGCCTGTTGAGGAATAATGGGGTTTGACGTGACAGCTAAAGTAGTGCAGTGAATAGATTGCCACATCTAGAGCCATGAAAACCTGAATTCAAATCCAGCCTCAGACACTTGCTAGGCAACTTACTTAACGTCAGCTTCCTCAACTGTAAAATGGGGGTCATAATAGTACCTACCTTGCAAGGTTGTTGTGAGAATCATGTAATATATTTTTAAAGCAACTGGCACATAGTTGGTCCTTAATAAATGCTTGTTCTTATCTTCTCTTAGAAATCATCTAGTTCTACCCCCTTATTTTGTACATTAAGAAACTAAGGCCCAGAGAGGTTAAGTGACTTACCCAAGGTCACAAAGGTGGCAAGTAGCCTAAAAGTAACCGGAATTCAGGTTATCTGACTCCAAATCCAGTATTTACAAGGTTTACCTAGGAAACAGTCGCTGCCTTTAGGGTTAGTCATGGCATCATAGAATTTGGAGCTGATCAAAATCTTAGAGATCATCTGTTTAATTGGAAATAAAACATATAGTACAGAATAATATATAGTAAGTAGTATTGATAAATGGCTGTCAATAAAGCTAATTCCACTTTAAGCATAATAGAAGCGTTATAAAAACAAGTGAAGTTACAATCACTTGCTATATTCTATACTAGTGAGTCCGATTTCTAGAGTGTTATGCTCAATTCTAGGAACTGTGTTTAGGAAACACATTGGAAAAATATGGAACATGTCATGGAAAAAACAAGCAGGATTGTTTGGAGATTTGAAACCATGCCTACAAAAACCAGTTGAGTGAACTGGAGTTCTTTAACCTGTAGAATAGATTTAGTGGAGACAAAATGAAGATCTGTCATGTGAAAAAAGAATTAATCTTGTTCTGCGTGGTCCGAAGGACAAAATTAGAAGCAATGGACAGAAGTTTCATATAAGCAGGTTTCAGATAAATCAAAGTTAAGTCAGTAAACATTTACTGAGTGCCTACTATGTGCCAGACACCATTCTAGGCAGATGATACAAAGAAAAAGAAAAAACATTCCTGATCTGGAGAAGTTCACAGTCTAATGGGGGAGACAACATACAAACAACTATGGACAAACAA